TGTTTGGCCCCTTCTGCACATGTCCTTACCCATGGTGTACACAGAAAAACCCACAGGACATGGGGTGCTAAACCGCAATGTTAATTATATACAATGAACATTGGTTGTGTCCAGTTAAGTCCTTTCTGCTCCCGTGCAGTGGTGGCTGTCGGGTTTTAATCATTTTGTTTGTTTGTTCTTTGTTTTTTGTTTTCTTTTCTGCTGGCACTCAGAAGAAGTAAACTCCCTTTATGGTGCAGGTGGCATAACACCATCTTCTGGACCGTCCTTCCTCCCCTCCACCTATCTGCCCAGTGCCCCCACTTATCTAACTACCTAACACGTGTTAAGATGGCCAACCGAGGATTTAAAGTCAGACAATGCCAACCAAAAAAGTCATGCAGCATAAGACATGCACATGCATCCAAGTTTTCAAAGGGTAGGTTCTGAATTCTAGAACCTATTTATAAAATGGGTGAATAAATAATGCTGAATCATGTAACTTATAACCTCATGACTGATTAATAATTTTCAGTTTACAAAGTAACACTGTTAAGTGACATAGAAACTAATTTTTTGTAGTATTTTATAATTCTACGTCTATAGGACCATATTTTAAACAACAAGCAACTTTCTCTTTTATTTTAAATTACAGATTTACTTTGGGAAAAATATAAAGGGAAGGAAACAGCTTGATATTCCAGATGTGAGAATTCAAATGAATTTAACAAACCTTTCTCCAAAAGACTGCTGATGTTTTTCTGTCAAAATTGAGAAGCCAGTTCATAATTAACTGTAATCTCACTTATTTCCTCCACTCTTGCTGCAAATCTCATTTTAAAGCAGAGCTAACAAAAATGGCTGAGAGCAGCGATTGAGAAACAGCTCAACCACAGCAAAAAATGAGGTTGGATCTTCAGCCACTGTAGGTTCCTGCTCCACTAAATCAACACAATCCTCTCGTACCTTCTGTTAGAGTGGGAGCATAAAAAATGGTACGTGCCTATATAAAATCTGTCCTATTCTCTATATTTATACAAACATGAATATATACATACACACACACACGGAACGCATGGACTTTTACATATAGGAAGTATAGCAATTGTTTGAATTTTATCACTCATCACGTCAAATGAAATCACTGTTACGGTACACACGTCATTTTCTTCAGCTTCTTCAGAGGCTTTTGTTACAAAAAGATGTTTGCATTTTAGCTTAAGGGGTTATGTTAATTTTGTTGTTTTTTCAAAAAAAGATCAGTAATAATTATTGGTGCTCTTACACCATAAAAAAATTCCACAAATTCACTTTGGAAAATTTAGAAAACACATAAAATTCTAAAGAAAAAGTAAGATTACCTATGGTTTTGCCATTAAATGCGCATGGATTTTGTTCATTGGCTTGTTTCCTATTTCATTTTTTCTATGCATTTTAGTGGTTTCATTTTTTTTGTACATTTATGAGTATGTAACTTTATGAAAATTTACCCCATGTATACTTTGAGAAATTTTTCCCCTTATAATGAACTCTTCAAAAGCTTTATTTTAAATAAATAGCTTCATAAAACAGTATCATCTGGTTTTACCAGCTTGTACTTCTCCATTCTTCTATATTGATGCAGTTTTGACTATTTTAATTTATTGCTGTTGTAAGTAATGCTGCAGTAAACCTTTTTTTGAAAAATCATTTTTGCAACTCAAATGATCTCTTTAGGACTGGTTTCCAAAAGTGTATCACAGATTATGAATCTTTTTAAGGCTCTTGGTAAGTATTTTCCAAAAAGTTTGAATCGCTTTACACTCCCAAATTTAGCTTACGAAAGAGCCTACTTTACAAAACGCTCGCTAGTATTATTATAAATGCCTTAATAGGGACATAATGGACACTTAATAACTAATCTGATATTCAGATTGTTGCTTGCTAAATAGAGTTTAATAGATACATGCTATTTTTAATTAAATAGGCTAACTTAAATATATGGAGATTAATTGTAGGTTTTAAAAAACTAGTGTGACTACACATTTTTCTATATTTGATGAAGACTATTCTAACTTCAATTTTTGCAAAGTCCTTAATTTATTCAAGTAATGCACATGTGATCACATACAAGGTGGTCTGTTTGATTTTATCCCCGTTGAGTGGTATCTGTAAGGACTTGGGTAGACTCGGCCACCCCATTCCAAAGAATCATTAGTTTGTTATGTTTAGCTGTTAATGATCACATTTAGATTGGTTCTAATTTATTAAAATAAAGACTACCTGGGAAAGTAAGATAAGAATTAAGAGAAAAAAGATCTGGTTTTCTGACACTGAAAAGTCACTTTAGAAAGACATAGTGGTATATAACAGTGGAGGTTTTCAGAAATTAATTCATTTCATGACCTACCTATCAGGCTGAGTGAATGGGAGCTGAACTATCAGCTTGTTGAGCGAAACTGGAATTCAAATAAATGATCATTAGAGTAACTATATAATGAACAGGAAGCAATGAACATTTTGAATATAGCACCATTAGTTAATTTGCAGAATGAAAGTAATTATGATAGTTTTCTGAGTAAAGAAAGAGACTTGATAAAGTTATCCATAACTTCTAACTTCTCTCCCTCATATCCTTAAAATTCTGAGAATTCACACAAAAGGAATTCACCTGGACTCTGCTCTAGCATTTCTCTTTAAATCAGAAACATCTCCCAAGTACGAGCAACTAAGCCCAAATAAAGGAGTGAGAAAAGAAATGTTATTCGAAACTTAAAGGGCTCCAAGGCAAAATCATTTAAAAAAGTCAACAACCAAAAAGTTTCCCAGTGTTACCATCGCCTCTTTTGTTTTCACAGTCCATTTACTCTCCCCACCATACAACTCATTTTCCTGTTTTCAGATGATATTTGCTCCTGGGAGAGAGGAGAGAAGGAGAAAGTAAAGTCACATGTTTGCACAATGGGCTGTAATTATTCCCATCTTAAAAATTATTGCTTTTTGTTGAGCCTATCAATATTTCTTTGCATATTGATGATCACATTTTACTTCTTACTACTTTACAAGCTCCTTTCCATCCACAATGGAAAAGAATATGGAGTTAATATATTTTCTCAGTTTAATCATTATTCTGAGGCTAGAGTTTGAAAGGGTATTTATCCTATCAGTTTTTTAAGGTTGTGGTTTGTGAATCTAAATACATCAATACATTTTATTCTCACAAAATGAGCAAATTATGAGAAACTAGCCAGCATGTGAATCATCTCCTTCCTCATCTCCCTCTAAGAGTGTTACTGATTCCTAGGGCAGCCTGGACCATGAAGCTGTTCCGTCAGAGAAGGCATTATGATTCAGAATTGGGTACCCAATTATCTCCTTTTTTGAAGCGAACTTGTTTCTAGGAGGTATGACGGGAATGTATTTGCCCCCACCTGTGACCACTAGAATGTCAGGTTGCCTCAGCTTGATTTGTTTTGATGAAGTGCAAGCATTCTCTTCATTATCTCAATGAGTGACTCTTGGCAGTCTGACCTTAGAAATCACATCTCAGTATGTTATGAGAGAAACAGTTTATCTAAAGTTTTTGTAGGAACTCAGCCAGTAATAATACTTCATCTGATGACTAACCATCTTTAAAAGGTGTAAGTTTAGTACAAATTGTTACAACTGTGCCGTGATTTTTGGATATGAATGGAATGTGCAATAACAATTATAATGATTATTACAAAAACCTGGAAACTTACTTGCTGAGCAACTCACTCATTTCTGTTTATTTGTTCCCAGCTGTTAGCTTTTGACTTTAACCGCAAAAGGTGGGAGGTCAATTACGTCCACTTTGTAGTTAGGTAGCAAAACTGAGGCGGCGCAGATCCATTGCTGACCAAAATATTCCCTTCTCCGAAATGCAGTGACTAAAAAATAATGTTTGTTGGAGGTGGGTGGGGAGTGGGTCGAGAGTGGATGGATATGAGTTATATGTCAGGCTGCTGGCCAGCTGTGTGACTATACAAATTAATTTACCTTTCTGGGCCCACAGTTGTACAAAAAAAGGAGTGAACTCATGTTTCAAAAGTTAACAGCACTGTGACATTTTAATATTCTACAATCTGTATCTTATATCCTATCCACAATTTCTCCAAATCCTTTACTTCTGCGTAGTTCCTTTAGGGAACAACACAGTGATAAGCATTCAAAAACCTAACCTGCTTACTGATACTGAACGTAGGATTCTGAAATAATTGTTCCGGGAAAGTTCTAAATGAAAGGGTCCAGTGTTAGCTCCTTTTGGGAAATTTGTCCCAAAGGTATCGGAGGTATCTCCAATTAATCTCCAGTTACCTGAACTAATTTCTAGGATCTTTAAAAATCTTCCCTTTAAAACAACAGCAAAAAAAAAAAAGAAAGAAAAGAAACGAAACTACATATCCCATGAGTCAAAGATGGAAACAGACACTGCCCCTCCAGCCTCTTTCCAGTCCCCTTGAATGTAGTCCGTTAAAATTCAGGTTGAGGCATCCTAAAATATGCCTGAAAGAAACTTCAGCTGATTTGTGCGGGTTTTCAGCAGCGCTCTCTGGGCTCCTTTAAATCGGTGCTGAGCGTGAGGAAGGATACAGAGCGACGCATCGCGGGCTGGGCGCGGGCTCGGGCATGGGCATGGGCATCACCTGTTCCGAGAGGGGCATGCGCACTGCGAGGGCGCGGGCGAGGAGGCGGGGCGCGGAGGGAGGGGCGGACGGCGCCCGGCTGGCAGCGCTCAGACCTGCTTCTCCGCGGCTCGTGGCGTGAGGCGGCGTCGGGAGTTGTCTTCTGGAAAGGTTGCCTG